TCGCCAATTTTAAATTTTTAGACCGATTGGCAGTTCTCAAATCGCCCAACCTGGCAACGTTGCGCTGCTTCCTCACCGCACAAAACAGATGCCTTCTTTATCAGAGACTCTGGATGCTCCACCTTGTTCGCCATTTTGTGATTTTACCGGTTCGTACATAGAGTATAGTTCGTAGTTCAGTGCTTTTTAAATCCAGCTAGCTTTAGTGAATAATAAAAATATATAGATATACCTATAGGTAAGTACCACCCTAATTAATTTATGAATATGTAATATATATAATATGCATAAATGTACGACCAACTTTACAATTTTTATAGGTGGACTTCTTATATAACACTGGAGGGGAGAAACCGTATGAAACCGTATGAAGCAGTAAAAAGATGCCTCACAAAAACTCTTTCAGATAATATAGGAGTAACATATAACTTTGAAGGAAAGAGAAATGAAAAAAAAAGTTTTCAAAATTTAAATATTTGTCAGGCTGTTATCAGTAAGTTTAACAATTTGTATGTATTTTTTTACCAAAATAATATGATTCTAGCTGCAGTAAAGAAGCTGCTAAATGTCACGGAAAAAGAAGTTGAAATGGCGATAAAATCATGGCTCAAACATTGTAAAGGCCGAATTCAAAATAAAGTTCAAAGAAGGTCAAAAAGTGCAAATTTATGAGTACAGAAATTATAATTTATCTTACGGTTATGTTTTTTTTTAAATTTTAATCAGTTACTTACTTTTTCACAAAAATAAAGTTATTTTTACATATTTTATGGGTTTTATTTAAAAAACAAAAGTGCACCATTTGGAAGTCCATGGACGTCCTACGGAGGTCCATGGGAAATTGTAGGACATCCCTGGGAGGTCCAATTACATCCATATAAGGTCAATTGTGACCCTCAGTGGGACGGTCTCTGGACATACAAAAGTGCACCATTTGGAAGTCCATGGACGTCCTATGGAGGTCCATGGGATATTGTAGGACATCCCTGGGAGGTCCAGAGCATCCAAGGATGACATCCGTAGGACGTCCTTGGGACATCCATGTGCTGACTGGGTTATGGGTAGGGTAACTGAATAAATATATATCTGACATTTTTGTTGATTGGATATTTTTCCTACAATTAATATATTAATTTTATAGTTATAGAATCTATACTATAGATAGATATGTAGATAGAGTTAATTTTTTATTTAGTTAGACTCAAGTGATTTTATTAAGTTTTTAGTTCTATACCACTTTTATTGGAAGTATGAAGCTGAAGAGATCCGCAAATGGCAGTGTGTGGTATGCTTTCGAAAGCGTAGAAGGTTTCTCCTATAAGGGAATGTAGACATTACTGCATTTGCCGGAGTTGTGCTTCACGTTTTCGGAAACGTAGGAATGAGGAGGACGATTCGCCTAGTACTAGGTGCCCTTACTGTCGAACACCCATAATGACATCCCCCATTGAGGTGTTGTATTAGATGTATTTTTTTCATGGATTGTAATAATGCATTAATTTTTGCTTATTTTTAATTAATAGGTAGGTATGTTGTTTTTTCATAGGTCTTTGGATACTTTTTTTTCCTAGGTGAGTTCTCAAGCCTTGCGGGGTTGATATTGGCAATGCTTCGGGATCAGGTTGTGTGGAAGTTTCGTTTTCATAGACCTCATTGCTTCATTCATCATTCATTCATTCATCATTCATTCATCATCGTTCATGCATCATGCATTAATCATTTATGCATTATTCATTCGTCATCCATTTATCATCCATTCATCATTCATTCGGCATTTATTCATTCATTATTTTTCATTCATGCATCATTCATTCATCATTTATGCATCATTCATTCATCATTCATTAATTCATAAATATGACGATATATTCTGCAGCAAGCTCTTGTTAATCCTATTGGATTATGTTGCTCCTATCTAAACTGGCGAAGAAGATTTCGAAATTAGCATTGGCGCATCCGTAAGTTTAATTTTTATGACCGTGGAATAGGCCTACTGGGGAAACCACGTTAAAAAAAACGCGCCTTGGACTCTACCTCAAGGGTGATGAGGAAAAGAGTTGATCAAAACATAACTGGAATTTAAGTTTTAACTCATTGTTAATGCTAACATGATTACAGAATCTGTATAACGAATCATTTGGCAGCGACAACAAGGCAAATTTAGAATTAAATCTATCTGTCAAAAGCCCAGCGCCAACTACATGCGGCAGCATCAGCAAATGCAGCGTTAGCCGATGCCTCCGCAGAAGTTACCGAAGCACCACCAGAAACCGAGGAATCCTCTGAAGGATCAGCCTGAAGTTTTCCACGAAGAACGTGGCAATACCAGATTTTTTTTATTTGATTATTTACATTTTTTTTATAATACCTAGGTAACATAATATTTTTGTTTTATAAGAGAAAATAAATATTTTTTATATAATTTTGTATTATAATTTACAATAGAAATATGAATATTCCCACAACAATCCTGTATTTTCTTTCTAAAAATGTTCCCTTATGTAAATCTGAAATAATATGGCTTCAAATCATTTAATCTTTAATATTTTACGTGATATATATCCATATATGGTGTATTTACCCTTCAGTTTAATCTGTACAGAAAAACTCAAAGGGTATACCCTGTACCTATAGGGTATACCGTTTGAGTTTATATATATATATATCCCTACATTGAAGCAAAGATAATACCTACATCTTTAAATACATCACAGAAAAAAGTAAAAAACTAATTAGTTAAAGCATACCTACTCCATAGAAAAAAAATAACCCTCCATGAGTCCTGGATATATAACACCAAGTTACACTTAGCGGCCATTCATTAATTACGTAAGGACGATTTTGGCCATTTTTGAGCCCCCTGTCCCCATGTAAGATCACATAAGATTTTTCGGACTCCCCCTTCTTACGTAAGATTTTATCTGGTTTTAGAAAATGATAAGAATGGCTTTTAGCCCCCTCCCCCGAGATAAGGGTATGGAGAGATTTTGAGAACCCCCCCTCCCACATCGGGACCCTTACGTAATTAATGAATTGCCCCTTACACGTAACTCACAATATGAGTAAGTATATTAATATTTATTTATAAAACCATGCATATGAGTATATTAATATTTATTTATAAAACCATGCATTTTCCATGATTTATTTGCAAGGAATGTATGCCCAGTAAACATTTGTGATATCACGAAAAAGTCAAGACGTGACATGTCACAACTTGATATCCAATTGCTGGCACAGTGATTAAGTTTGTCGTTTTATGTCAGCAGTGACACGCGCGTGATCTTTTTATGTCATGACGTGACCCCGCAGGGACGAAACTTTTCATTTAAATGACATTACTTTAATTTGGTCATAAAACGTTAATTACGTACCTATTATGTTATTATTGTTAGACACGTTATAGGTTAATGCTTTTAAACAATTATTTCCCCAAAAATATTTAACTTCACTTTATATTTGTTTGCGATTTTGCAATCGAAAAAAAAAATTAAATTCGTTTCCGTTTTATTTTTAATCTATAAATAATAATAAACTTAAAAAAAAGCAGTATATACTATAATCTAATATAATATACTTATGATATCATAATCAAAAATTTTATTTTAAATAACTATTTGGGATGTTTCAGCGCCGCCTCTGGATTAACTAAATTTAATTTACATTAAATTAAGCCCTTTGCCTACTACTAAAAACCTAAAAGGTTTTATCAAATTCGCCCAAAAAATAAATATTTTTTTTAATAACTTTACCACCCTGCCTCTCGAAAACGAAGCTTTAAAACATAAATACTTTTCTTCTGATATTTTCGATTTCTATAGATCACTAATTTTTCCCAATTAAAATCTGCGACACCCTGAATACATGTAAGTATTATACTTATACTTATAGGATACTTGATGCACCCTGTAAAAAGGTAGTGTGCAAAACTTGTCTTATTATTATTTTATTTAAATAAATGTTGACTGTTAATATTTTAGCCCATAATTTTATTTCACCCAAGGCCGCAAGTTTGTTGAAGCTGTGATATACGATAAGAGGGTCGTCGCTATTGTTACTAGCGATGCAACGTGTTTTAAAAGACGTTGCATCGCAATTAACGATAGCGACGACGCTTTTTTCGTTTATCAGAGCTCCAACATGTTTTAAATATTCCCCTGCACTTTCGCTCGCGCATGCGCGCTAGCAATGTCACGGAGTGATATCCCATTGAGTGCGTATTGCGCTTGAATGTCACGACTTGATATCCCATTGATTGTGCATTGTGGAAACATATGAATGCGTCAGTGATATCACGATGTCAAGACGAGATTTCGGAGTGATTTCAATACGCAATCACAAATGTTTACTGGGTGGTTATTCCCCTTATACATTGACAACACTTTCCAAAATTTATTCCAATAATTATTATTTTATATATGAATTTTCCGATATTAAAAAAAAATCTGAGAAGGGGATTTTATATTTATCTGTACTTTTGTTTGATAAATATCATTGCATACCTATCTGCCAGATTCTGGTTCAGATGTATACTACTTTTCTTTGACCGAAATCTTGTTTGAACGAAAGTAGGTAGATCTCATTTAAGAAAATACGTTTTTTGTAGAAAACATGTGAACAAAGCCTTAAGCCTTTGACGTTTCAAAAGAGACGTTGCCACACATTTTCGATCTGGTGAGCTTCGAAGGTCATGTAAATTTTCGATCTGGCGAGATTCGATCTATTGAGTTTCGATGCATCGAGGCGTACCCAAATAAAAGTTGTTTCTTTTATAAAATGGGAAATATTGTACTATTTAACTAAGAAATACTAATTAAACCTTTATTTAAATAAAGAATATATTTCATTTATTACCAATCTGTACATAAAGCGCTTAAAAAACGTTTTATTGTGTATTTATTTTGACAACCATAGCCTTGAAACATTGCTCTTGAAAGAAGCAGACTTTACTTTAGTAACTTTTGAATCTAGGGAATTTGGTTAAATTTTGGCGGTTTTGACAGATATTTAACCAGAAAGTTTGTGAATTCGAAATTTTGTGTTTTTTCAATGAAATTTGGTGTTTTAATGAGTTTTAACATGTTTGAACTGAAGAAGGATTGATATTTTAGCTTATTTATGTTTAATTTGTGGCGAGGGTAGAATATAAGGCTTTAAAATGGATCAAATGCTACCAAGTCCAGGGTTTAGTATACCAAGTATAGGTAAATAAACAACAATATAGCTTAACTACAGTACACTTACACATAATAACTGTTTAAAATTAATAATTACATTATTTGTAACTATAAACGTACAAAAATGCCACTAAAACTGACCTGAACATATTTTTCCAAGGAACCCCACTTCATCAGCCTGAAGAAGATCAATTAATTCTTCCAAATGCTTTACAACAGCAACAACAACAAAATTTGTCACAAGTCCCCCCATTGGCCCCTATGGGGGGACTAACCCCAACTTTAGGCCTAGGAATGGGTATGTCGATGCCAACTCGATATGTTCCAGGTTATGGCAGCAGTTTGCAGTCTCAAACGCCGGTAAGTTAAGCAAAACACTTTTAATATTATTTACATGAATCATGAGTATTATATTTCACACACTTGTTTTGATATCATTTCCAGCAACATACGATGATGTCGCCTATGATAAACTTAGGTGGTACCAGTGGAGGTCCAGGGGCCACACCTAGTAGTAATATGGGGCCTGCGACACCTGCAACCCCTGCCACACCTCAGACCCCACATTCCCAGGATCCAGGGATTGTTCCCCAGTTACAGTAAGTGAATTCCTTTTTTATTACTTTTGAGTAAATTGTAAGCTTGTCCTACCAAAAATTTTGTTTATTGTCAAGTGGACGTCAGCGACATGCGCAATACTAAAATATGGTCGTGATTTTACTTATGCGCATGCCCCGGATAGTGCTGGGTATTATAAAACCTTAAGGTTTTATAATTATATTAACAAATAGTTGATTATCTTGGCAAACTTCTACTTATAAAATATTTGCATACAAAACATATTTCCATTAATTTTTGCATAATTGATTGTGAATTTTTGTTTAAAACTTTTTTTAAATCATTAATATTTAAAAAAATTATATCTACATTTTGAAAATGCGTATGTCGAAAAATGGTTATCTTCATGAATATAAGTGACACTTAAAAATTGTTATTACAAAATTTGTTAAAAAACATATTTTGATACATTTTTTTTCAACAACAGTTACTGTTATTAAATGTTTTTTATAAACTTTTTTCATATAATTATTATTTATAAAGTTATATTTACATTTAAAAAAATGCGCATGGTACACTGTGGACCAGGTTTTTGTAAAACATTGAAAAATATCAAACTCAACAAATGTATCAAATTTTCTAATGTAATTATCAAAAACAAAAAAAAATAAGTTAATTTTACTTATAAACAGCTGCTCAGACAACGAAAAATTGTTATACCAGAGTAAAATTTAACAATATTTTGCTAATTGGCGAAATTGTAAAACTTATTCAAGCAAAATTGTAAAACTTATTGAAGATCTTGTATTTTGTAATAGAAGATGTCAAAATGAAAATAATTTCATAAATAGAACTTTAAGAGCCTATATATCTATATATTATTTATTTTTCAACAGTTAATACCATAATAGTACCATGTTACTATTGGTATAATTTTATTTTAATGTTTTTTTCATGGAAAACTTAGTTTAGTATAGGGTCGTTTTGAGGGGTGGTGAATCCAGTGCCGTGCTTAAAAACTAACATAGTATACTACAACAGAATACAAGGCCTATAGGCCTTGTATTCTGTTCAAAAATGGCGTTTTTGCTCCAAAAATACAGTTTATCAAGATCTACACTTTAAAAAAATCCGGTTAAAATCGCACAATAATTAAAGATTTTACAGGGGTGAGTCGCAAACAAATGGGTCACACTGTATATATTTTTTTTATATTAAAAAAACTCAACTATTTTGATTTTTAATAATAAATCCTTGTTTTCAGGGTATTTTAAAATTACTATGCCAATTTATAGGCACCACAGTTCAAACGATTAAACAAAAAAAAATTTAAAAATCCATTAAAACCACTAAAATTGCCTTAAATATGACATTTCGAAAAAAACGTCAAAACTTTCAAAATGACAGAATACATATTCAAAAAGTCCTTTACAATCCAAGCCAATCCAATTGTAAAAGACCACAAAATCTTGCGTTTTCTCCTGGATTGGCAAAATTCCATCATTATTAAAAATTGACTTTTTCAATTATTAGGAAATTTTTGGCCCACAGTGCGGTATGTCGAAAAAATGGTTTCAGAGATACTTAAAAAAATGTTACAAAAACTGTTAAAAAATTTTGTCTATAACTTTTTTTCGTATCATCAATATTTAAAAAGTTCTATCTACATTTTTAAAATGCGTATGTCGAGAAAATGATTTCATTAAGGCATGATTATCTATAAATACAAGTTATACCTAAGAAAATGTTACAAAAACTGTTAATAAACTTATTTTTATCAATTTTTGTCTATAACTTTTTTTCGTATCATCAATATTTAAAAAGTTATATCTGCATTAAAATAACTGCGTCTGTAAAAAAACGGTTTACAAATTATGAATTTTGGTTAAATTATACTCCTATATAAACTACATAGAAATATTTAATTTTTGTCCAATAAAATTATATCGACATTTGTTTGGGTTATCTTATCCAAAAAAACGGTACCGTAAACTTGAGTGACTTTTTACAGGATAGAGATACTGGTCCCTGGTGTCATTTTATAGGTCGTTAATAGTACTTCAAGTATACCAAATATTAAAATTTTAAAAGTACTTAAAAAATTATGGGTGAGCAATGTCAGAATGCAAAGTAGGCTCACTTTGGCCACCCTTGTTTTTTTTAATGAAAATGCAAAAATAAGCGAGTCTTTGGCCACAAATATTTATTTTTTTAATGTCGCGAGTTTTAAATTTGACAAAAACAACTCTAGGTAACGACGTCTACTCTAGAGAAAGGTTTCGACTGTAAAAAAATCCCCTTTTTTCGATAATTTCTTGAGAAAAAAATTAAAATTATCAACTTATCTCTACTAATCATTTTTATATTCACTATGGTGTATAAAAACAAAAAAAAAAATAAACATGGAAATATTAAAATTTTAATTTAAATAACAAATGCTGACAAAATGCCAAAGCTACTCAAGTTTACGGTATTTCATGGATATATTATAATTAAGGGCTTCTGTTTCAGAAACATTGTTTCTACAGTAAACCTAAACTGCAAACTGGACCTGAAAAAAATCGCGCTGCACGCCAGAAACGCCGAATACAACCCCAAGCGTTTCGCGGCCGTCATAATGCGAATCCGGGAACCTCGAACGACAGCCCTGATCTTCTCCTCCGGCAAGATGGTGTGCACCGGGGCCAAAAGTGAGGAAGACTCGCGGTTGGCCGCGCGAAAGTACGCGCGTATCATCCAAAAGTTGGGTTTTAACGCCAAGTTTTTGGATTTTAAAATACAGAACATGGTGGGCAGTTGTGACGTTAAGTTCCCCATAAGACTGGAGGGTTTGGTGTTGACGCACGGCTCTTTTAGCTCCTACGAGCCGGAGTTGTTCCCCGGATTGATTTACCGTATGGTGAAACCCAGGATTGTGCTGTTAATTTTCGTGTCCGGGAAAGTCGTGCTAACCGGCGCCAAAGTGAGACAGGAAATCTACGAAGCATTTGATAATATTTATCCTATTTTGAAGAGTTTCAAAAAACAATAATTGTTTTTAACAAACAGCCTTTTGGTTGTGTTTTGTTTATTTGTTTCAATAAAATTGTATTCACTTTTTTTAGATAAGTGCTTTTTATTTTGTTTAAGTGCATTTTCTCAGCCGTCTATTAGGTAGCGCCCAAAGTACAAATTACAGTTAGGTAGGTAGAACAAAATAGCACCGTGGGATAAATTTAAAAAAGGTAGGACAAATTCTCAGTGGGGAAAATTTAAAAATGGTATTATTAGTTCCCACAGTGGGATAAACTTTAAAACAGTAGGACAAATTCACACAGTGGTATAAATTTAAAAAATGTTGGGATAAATTCCCACAGTGGGGAAAATTTAAAAATGGTATGATTAGTTGCCACAGTGGGATAAATTTAAAAACAGAAGGATAAATTAAAAAATGGTGGAATAAATTCCCACAGTGTGATAAATTTAAAAATCGTATGACAAACTCGCACAATGGGACAACTTAAAAAAAGGTAGGAGAAATTCTCACGGTGAGATAAATTTAAAAAACGTATGACAAATTCGCACAATGTGACAACTTTAAAAAATGATAGGACAAATTCTCAAAGTGGGATAAATTTAAAAATGGTAGGATAAATTCCCACAGTGGGATAAATTTAAATATCATATGACAAATTCGCACAATGGAAAAAAATTAAAAAAGGTTGGACAAATTCTCACGATGGAATACATTTAAAAAACATAGGACAAATTCTAACAATAAATAAAAGATAAATTTAAAAATGGTAGAATTAATTCCCAAACTGGGATACATTTAAAAATGGTATGACAAATTCGCATAGTGGGACAAATTAAAAAAAAAGGTAAGACAAATTTTCATTGGGGAAAATTTAAAAATGGTATGATTAGTTCCCACAGTGGTATAAATTTAAAAAATGTTGGGATAAATTCCCACAGTGGGGAAAATTTAAAAATGGTATGATTAGTTGCCACAGTGGGATAAATTTAAAAACAGAAGGATAAATTAAAAAATGGTGGAATAAATTCCCACAGTGTGATAAATTTAAAAATCGTATGACAAACTCGCACAATGGGAGAACTTTAAAAAAAGTAGGACAAATTCTCACGGTGAGATACATTTAAAAAACTTAGGATAAATTATAACAGTGAGATATATTTAAAAATGATAGAATGAAAACCCACAGTGGGATAAATTTAAAAATCGAATGATAAATTCGCACAATGGGACAACTTTAAAAAAGGTAGGACAAATTCTCACGGTGTGATAAATTTAAAAAGGTAGGATAAATTTCCATAGTGGGATACATTCCCACAGTGGGATAAATTTAAAAATTGTATGACAAATTCTAACAATAAATAAAAGGTAAATTTAAAAATGGTAGAATTAATTTCCACACTGGGATACATTTAAAAATGGTATGACAAATTCGCATAGTGGGACAAATTAAAAAAAGGTAAGACAAATTCTTGGTGGGGAAAATTTAAAAATGGTATGATTAGTTTCAACAGTGGGATAAACTTAAAAACAGTAGGACAAATTCACACAGTGGAATAAATTAAAAAATGGTGGGATAAAATCCCACAGTTAGATAAATTTAAAAATAGTATATCAAATTCGCACAATGGGACAACTTTAAAAAGGTAAGAAAAAATCTCACAGTGAGGTACATTTAAAAAACGTAGGACAAAATTAAAGAACGGGATAAATTTAAAAATGATAGAATAAATGCCCACAGTGAAATAAATTTAAAAATAGTATGACAAATTTGCATGGTGGGACAAATTTAAAAGGTAGGACAAATTCACACAGTGGGAAAAATTTAAAAAAAAGGTAGGACAAATTATCAGTGGGGAAAATTTAAGAATGGTATGATAACTTCCCCAGTGGAATAAACTTAAAAACAGTAGGACAAATTCCCACAGTGGAATAAATTTAACAATGGAATGACAAACTCGGACAGTGGTTCAAAATAAAAAATTGTGGGATAAAACTAGCACATTTTTGAAAATTTACAAAGTTCTAAAAATTCAAAAAAAACACATAATGTTCTTTCCTGATCTTATTCCACATATAAAGCAAAGTAGTTTTAATTAAATATGTTTTTTTAAGAAATGTATTTACTTACCTTTTATTTTAAATAAAAATTAATAAAATAAATAGATTATAGAGAGATGCTAGATATAGATTTATTCTTCCCACACAATTATAATTAATTACAATTACAATTTAATATAATTACAAATGCCCTCAAAAATACTGAATTCTTATTTAATTAATTAATTAATTATTATAGTACAATTATTTAACTTAAAAACGAAGAATGACTAATTCTACATAACAAGAAAAAAATACACATTCAAAAATAATTCTTTAAGGGGCGTACATTAGTAGAAAGTTAATTGGAGAATGTGCCCTTAAGGAATTATTTTAGTTTTTTTAAATATAATTGAGAATTTTTGTGAATTACTTTGAAATCTCGTTGGGCATGCTTCTTTTGCCCCAGAGACCTTTGAGGTTTGACCAGGCTGGATCACGTTTACCCCATACACCTAAAAAAGAAGATAAGATAAGAATATTTTTTGAAAATCGAAATACTTGCTATTTAGTATGTTTATTTTAAAAACAAAACAAGTTCTTAATAAAAAACTTACTTCTATCCAAACAAAATACAAAAATTCAAATTTTGTCAAATAAAATTGAAATAAAATTTTTCATAAACTTTACTAAAACCTTTTTTTACAACATTCCAAGAAATTTTATTTTGCACCAAAATATTTACAATACATTTCTTGCGATAAATTGCATCCACTCATATATATATATATATGCATATAAATATAAAATCAATCTATATTATTTATCGTCAAAAATCGCTAGCTATATTTCATTTCTAACCTCTCATTTTGTTCCAGTTGTTGCTTCTTTTCCCCCATCCATCGTGAAACTCACCCCACCCCCTCTTATCGTCGTTATTTAAATTCATGTGCCCTTCAGGACCGTACTCAGTGTAGGGCTGTTCCATCTGTTGATCTCGTTCGAGCATTGAAGCTAGCTGATTTATCGCCATTTCGTCGTCCGGGGAAAATCTCTTTCCCCACCCGCTCTGGAATAAAACATTAAAAAAATTAATGTCTGAAAAGAGCATATTTTTGTTGGTAAAATGTCCATCACAAGGCTGTAAAGAAAAATCGACATTTTTAGGACGATTTTTAAAAGGTATCCCAACAAAAATGCGCAAAATTTTTCAATGTTGTTTTAAAGAGTATATATTAATTTAGTTTATTCTATAATTTCATTAAATTTTGACTATTTTTATGAAAGTTATAGGGGTCTAAAGTCGCAGATTTTAGTACGATAATCTTTTAAATTTATATGATTTTTAAGACTGTTTTAAGGTATACCGACAAAAATACGAACATTTTAATAACACCACGGTCTGTGCATATATATATATATATATATATATATATATATATATATATATATATATACAGGGGACTCAATAGTTTGGAATATTGAGTGCAACTTTTAAAATATCTAAATATTCTAAAATGATTTAAATAAAAGTTGTTTGGTAGTTCATTTCAAATTTTACGGTGATATTGCCAACTTGCCAACAATAGCCTATTCTGATATAAAAAAGGGGGTTGTAATTAAAAAAAAGTTGGCCTCCTTGGGGGGGCTACGTATTTATTTAGTTAGTAATGTCACCTCAAAATTTGAAATAAACTATTAAACAACTTTTATTAAAATCATTTTTTAATATTTTTGATATTTCAAAAGTTACACTCAATATTCCAATCTTTTTAGTCACCCTGTATATTAGGCTGGTTCAAAAAAATTAACTATTTTTTTTCCTGAAATTTCGCACTGAAATATGTTCACGGTACCAAAAAAAGACACCTGTAAAAACCGGAGCTCTAATTTTAATATTTAGAGGACGCGCATCGAGAATTTCCATTTCCCATTTAAATAACATGGGAAATTTCGTTTTGTTTCTTTATAATTTTCTAGCTCACAAATTAATTAACAGATTTTTAAGCGCGATATATATTCTTGTGGGAAATTGAACGCTCTACAAAAAATGTCTCCTATCATTTTTCGATAAACCAACGAGTTCAAAAGTTATTCAAAGTCGAAATTTTATAATTGCATTTTTTACTTCAATTTTAGGCAAATTCCTAGTTAGTTATTATCAAATATAAAAAAAATCATTCAAAAAATCAAAATTACTATGTTCAATAAGCACTGAAACACCTACTATTTTAAGAATTGATTAAATTTTTTTTTGATCGATTAAAATCCTTTTTAGTGAATTCTTTCCAGAAATAGTAGGTCTTTCAGTGGAATTAATTTAAAAGGCTTATTGCATGAACATGGTAATTTTGATTTTTTAAAGAATTTTTTTATATTTGATAATAACTAACTAATAAATTTGCCTGAAATTGAAGTAAAAAATGCAATTATGACATAAATTTAACTTTGAATATCTTTTGACCTCGTTGGTTTATCGAAAAATGATAGGAGGCATTTTTCGTATACTATAGAGCGTTCAATTTTCCACAAGAATATATATCGCGCATAAAAATCTGCTAATTAGTTTGTGAGCTAGAAAATTATAAAGAAACAAAACAATATTTCCCATGTTATTTAAATGGGAAATAGAAATTTTCGATGCGCGAAATATAAAAATTAAAAGCTCCGGTTTTCACAGGTGTTTTTTGGGTACCGTGAAAAAAATTCAGTGCAAAATTTTAGAAGAAAAAAAATAGTTGATTTTTTAGAACCAGCCTACTGTATATATGTATATAAGTGTATCGCTAAAATTTAACAATAATCTGTCAATTTTTGTATCTCAATAAAAAAATCCTCAAAATTTAAACTCCTATATCTTAATCCTAACAAACTTCGATTAATCAAAAAATCACAATTATTTTTACCTGCAATCTCTGCCAGGCGCGTTTTTCGGCAATAGGCTGTGAGTTGTAAACCATTTGGTCCTCCCATGTTGAGGGGGCGCTCCTTTTGGCCCCCCACCCCCCATGAAGGCTGGTCCAGGCCCTTTTACCCCATATTTTCAATTCCTTATCCCATCCCCTCTTCGACATTTCAAGTTGCTGCAAAGATAAAACGCGAGAATCACGTTTTAATGTTTTTGTGTTTATGAAGGAATTTTAATTATTTTGATGAACATATTTTATATTGTATTGTAAGGCAAAATACTTAGATTTGTGGTGGTTTTAATTGTTGAATTTTGTTTTGTTATGAGAAATGTATGAATTTTGCAACAAAGTTTTATAAAGTTTGACGTGACAAAAGTTTTAAAACTAAAGAAAGGTCTTATTTCGTACTTTGAATGAATATTAAATATTTTAATAATGGGTAGTATTTTGCTTTTTACAGAAAAAAACTAAGAAATAATTTATGTGACAACTCAAAATGGACAATGTAAAAGATGTTGTAGATCTCATCGAGATAAATATTTTTATTTAAGTTTTCCTGTACCCTGATAGCACAGTTTATTCTAAGAATGTTTTTTAAACCTTCCAGTATCATGCTATATTTCTTCTAAAGAACATGCTTAAAAAAATATAGCATAATCCTAAGAATATTCTTACTGGCCTATAGGCAGGTACTTAGAAGGTGCAAAGTTTAGTGGTAAAAATTAATCCACTCTAAACATATGCTTAGAATGTTGAGAAAGTAATTGCTATGGAAACTTCATTTAGGAATATTCCTGTAACATTCTGTTAAGCATATTCAGTTCAGTTAGGTACCTATATATTATATATAATAGTAAAATAATATACGTATAAAGGTACCTATACTTAGTATTAAATACTAAGTAAAAACACAACCCAAAATATTTTTTTATAGTTATTTGTCAAATTAAAACAATATTCGATAACAAAAATACTTTTACTATAGGTATCTAAATTATCCGGCTTTTACATAAAATCGTCTATCCAAGTTAAATACAATGAAAAATGTTTTTTTATGAAGAACTATTTGGTTTTTTCTTTTATGAAGAATTATTTTATAAGGAAATATTTTGTTTTTTTATATTAAATTTTAGGTTAAAAATAAATATTTATTATTTTGTATACCAATTTTTTATTTCTGAATTAACATTTTTATGTATAATAATCCTAACAATCTTCAACTTCAATCTAATCTGACTTATCCCACAAAATTTTCCAATTTTACTTTTTATGAAATAATGTCATACAACTTATGGTTCATAGGTCAAATTGTTTATTTAATATTTTTAAATAAATATATATTAAAATGTCGCAAATTTTTTTAATGGGATGACAAATACATTTTACTGTCATATTATGACAGTGAGGCGTATTTGTCGCCTCCTGAAGAATTTTGCGAATGTAGAATCCAACATATTAGAACGTGGGTATCTGACATATTTGGAAATATTCTCAAAAGCTTCATAGAAGCTCCATAAGAAACCTTCTAAGACCATTCCAATTCTTAAAATGTTCTTAGATTGCTTTTTAGGAAGGTTTTAAGAAACTTCTAAGAATCTAATTGCATCATTAAAAGTCCCTAAGAACATTCTCAGCAATAAGGGAAGGTTCTAAGAATATTCCATTATTCCGAGTCATATCTTCTTAGAAGATTCTTAGAATCAAATTTTGCTATCAGGGTATATTTTTATGTTGTATATTTTGCACAATAAGTGTATGCAGTATTATAATTATTATTACACGCGCATGGTATAATAAAAACAAATTAAAAATGCACAAGTCAGAACAAATTTATTTTTGATTAAAAAATTTAAATGATGTCCAAATGATTTTAATAACATCAATACAAAAAACCGTTCGATCGCTTTTTCGCCGTAATTGCTTTTTTTCATTTGAATTATGACGACAATTTTGACAATCTTCAAGGCACAGTTTATTTGTTAAACCACAGATTATAAAGGTTAAAAGATACATAAAACTTACTAAAGTGAGGTTAGATAGAAATGACAGTAGTCGAATTTTTTGATTGGTCCAAACGGGTTTATTACAGACTGGAAGGTATAAAAACTACCCGATTAGTCTAAATTATTTTTACATCTAAGGAGATAATCGAATATTTGACAATGTAAAGTTTAAATAAGAACGCTTGAAGATAAAAGAATTTATTGTGGGATTTAAGTGGTCACTTCTTTTTCACATTTGAGTGAAATAAAGTATGTATTTATTCATGGTAGGATAAAAGGATATACTAGAAATATACAAAGGAATGCTAAAAGAATAAAAACATCATTCTTTATTCTAAAAGAATAAAATTGAAATATTTTTAATAAAATAAGAAACCGCACTTAGTTATTATAACTTTTAGTATTATACTAATTAGGCACTCAACAAGCTTAAAAAAGTCGTATTTATTTGCAAAAGACAATTTTATAAAGTAAGAAGAACAAAAGTAAAAACACTTGTACCTCTTTTATGACCGTCTCAAATGACTCTAGACCAAATCAAATTCCACTTAAGGCCTCAGCTAGATTAAAACACATTTACTTCGATTTATTGTTATAGCTTTATCGATTTCCACCGTTTTCATTAAATTTTTTACAGTTTACATACATATGGATACCAGATTTAATATTTTTCAATTTAGTTTACCTATATATTTTTATGATGTAGGAGCCCAATTTAAAGAATATATGGATTTGTTATATGGGTACATCCATAAACCCTGATAGCAAAATTTGATTTTAAGAATCTTCTAAGAAGATATGACCCGGAATATTGGAATATTCTTAGAACCTTCCCTTATTGCTAAGAATGTTCTTAGGGACTTTTAAAACATTCAATAGATACCCTTTTAATGATGCAATTAGATTCTTAGAAGCTTCTTAAAACCTTCCTAAAAAGCATTTTAAGAACATTTTAAGAATACGTTTTTGGAATGTTCTTAGAAGGTTTCTTATGGAGCTTCTAGGAAGCTTTTGAGAATATTTCCAAATATGTCAGATACCCACGTTCTAATATGTTGGATTCTACATTCGTAAAATTTTTCAGGAGGCGACAAATAGGCCTCACTTTCATAATATGGCAGTGAAATGTATTTGTCGTCCCCTTAAAAAATTTTCCGGCATATTAATATATATTTATTTAAAAATATTAAATAAACAATTTGACCTGTAAACCATAAGTTGTTTGACACTATTTCATAAAAAGTAAAACTGGAAAATTTTGTGGGATAAGTTAGATTAGATTGAAGTTGAAGATAGTTAAGATTATTATACATAAAAATGTTAATTCAGATATAAAAAATCGGTATACAAATTAATAAATACCTATTTATTTTTAACAAAAAATAAAATATAAAAAAACAAAATATTTCCTTATAAAATAATTCTTCATAAAAGAAAAAACCAAATAGTTCTTCATAAAAAAACACTTTTCATTGTATTTAAGTTGGATAGAAGATATTATATAAAAGCCGGATAATTTAGATACCTATAGTAAAAGTATTTTTGTTATCGAATATTGTTTTAATTTGACAAATAACTATAAAAAAATATTTTGGGTTGTGTTTTTTACTTAGTATTTAATACTAAGTAGGTATAGGTACCTTTATACGTAGATTATGGTATATTTTACTATTATATAGGTACCTAACTGAACTGAATATGCTTAAAAGAATGTTCCAGGCATATTCCTAAATGAACTTTCTATAGCAATTATTTTCTCAACATTCTGAGCATATGTTTAGAGTGGATTAATTTTTACCATTAAACTTTGCACCTTCTAAGAACCTGCCTATAGGACAGTGAGAATATTCTTAGGATTATGCTATATTTCTTTTAAGCATGTTCTTTAGAAGAAATATAGCATGATCCTAAGAATATTCTCACTGGAAGGTTTAAAAAACATTTTAGAACATGACTAGAAGAAATATAGCATGATCCTAAGAATATTCTCACTGGAAGGTGTAAAAAACATTCTTAGAACATGACTAGAAGAAATATAGCATGATCCTGAGAATATTCCCACTGGAAGGTTTAAAAAACATTCTTAGAATAAACTGTGCTGTCAGGGAAAGCTGGTGTTAAAAAGTTGTCATTTACCTGTGCATTTTCGAGTTCGGGTTCACTTTGGGCGGTTATCGATGGCAAATCTTCGGCGGCCACGGCAAAAATCGCCGCCTCCAAGCAACAGGCTAATACGACCAAACTGAACCACTTGCCGCCGCCACTGCTCGACATTGGCGGTACATTTCGCATTGTATTGCTAAAAAAATAAAATATTACATGATTTATTTTTTCTATAGAAAGTAGTTTCTATCGGAAGAGATTAACCAATGAGAGCACTGCATTCTCTGTCGCAATCTAGTCTGCTGTGGAGAATGCCGTGCTGTGACTGGTTTATTGCTTTTTATAGAAAGTATATATACGCTAAAAAAGTATCGGGTTTTCGCAACGCGCGCGCCATCTGGTGGACTTCGATAGCAAGGAAAAAATTAAAAAACTTTTTTAGTACTCGATTTCGATTGATTATTCCTTATATCATTGAATAAGAAACTCAACGCTTAAATGCTTATACAGTTATGTTAGCGTGTGTATTTTATCTAAGGGATCATGGTGAATTATTGTGTTTTTAATTGAAAATAAAATTCAAGAACTAAATCGTTGCATTTTCATGTTTTGCCAAAAGATCCAATTCGGTAAGTACATTTGTTTGAGCAGAATTAACTAATGATAACTTTACCTAATATAATTTATATTTAAGTTTGGACATTTTTACGAAATTAGTAAAAAATAAGTTTTGCACAAACATAACCTTAAAATCAACCATTTTTATGTTTGAGTTCTCTAAAATACGCCGACAACTGCATTTTAAACAACAAAATATACCTACGAATTCATGGCAACATAATATAATGGTATTTTACCGTTGAGTGGAGACTTTCTTAATCAACGCTTTTAATAATGCTAAATGCTGTTTAAATTTAGACGACTTATTTGTTTGACGTTTTTTATTGAATTGAAATGTTTACACTTTTTACTTTAATCACTACTAAAATGTGTATTTGTTGTATCTAATAGGTACAATTTATATTTACAGAGACTGTATGCAATTTATTTCTTCATTCAGATTAACACTGTTTATTGGAAAACCGGTAAAAACTCAACCAAGGATTTTTTCTCGAAATACACCCAACAACACAAAAAATCGAGCCACGGTTTTTTTCCGATATTTTTTAACATTTTCCGGCTTTATTCTCAAAAACTCTCGTTTGTAACATAAGCGTTTGATAGCAAATTTTATATTTACTTGTTGGTAAAAGTGGCTTATTTCATCAATATTGCTTGAAAATAAGTAGTTTTATTACAAAACTACCCATGTAATTATAAAATCCTGAACTGGAGACATTATAAAACATAATTAAGTAGGAGAGCGGAAGTTTATAAATTCGCACAATAAGCATTGTGCAATTTCGAGCGATAAATTTCAAGTGTCAAAACAGCGTAACTTAATTATAATATTTCGGATAAAAGACTCTTAAATTATAACGCCAATATCGAATACGCTTTCAAAATGTCGCACTAGCATACAAAACCCGTTATTTTGACATTAATGACAGTTAATTTAATCTGACAGCTGTCAGAAAACTAAATTTTTTAATGAGATATCGAATTTTCAAGGGTATCCAGGATTTTTTAATTTGAGGGTATTCAGGAGGTTTCATGTGGATTTTTGGTAGCTGTAGATGATAAATTCACTTGCTAATGAAATCGCGATTGCCTCGGCAAGTTTCAACCAGCATTGCGAACAGATGTCTTGGATTACTCGATAAATCCGCACTTTTATTACGCAATTACTTTTTTCATTCGTTATTTTATTTTGCCTGTGGACTCGCCATTTTAATCATGTAGAGTAGAATTTAAGGTCGTTATTAAAAGTTGTTGTTTGCGAGATATTTCAAGATGTATGTTTTAATACATACCTACGACGAAAATATATAAATTGTTTTGATAAATATTTTTATATTGGTATTTAAGCATGATAAATTGTTTTTGAAGAATTAAATGTTTTAAAATGAAATATTGTTTAAATTTTAAGTTTAATAAAGCTCTGGCTTTGATGAGTGATTATATTTCATTGTGATTTATTAAAACATTATCCCGGCGCATTCGCCATTTTTTAACAATGCGATAGTTTTTATAATAATCCCTACTGATATTAAAACACAGTGCAACACGGTTTTCCTCCCATGAAAAATTTTAACAGATTTTAAAATAAAGGTTTAAAAAACCGTTTCACGAAATCACGTCATTTAATTTTTTACACAGCCATTCTCATTATTTTAACAGATTTTTAATTCTCTATTTTGTTATAAATAATTTTTTTTTCTTCAAATATTTTATGTTTTTACATAATACAAAAATTATACTTTAATAAAATAACAATTTTATTGAAGTAAAAAAAATATTTCTGGTTTAAATTTTTGATTTTTTTAAATAAAACAACATATTTATATTTATATTATATTAAATATATGTTGGAAACAAATCGTGATCTTTTATTTTGACGATTATACATTGCTTTCGAATCTATAGTGGTATCACAACCTAAAAACACCACTTGATATACAGGGTGGTACATTGGAAGTTTCTGGAGAACAAAAAATATATAGATTTGAAATTTAAAAGCGTTTATAATCAATTTTTTTTTAATATGTTGAACAAAATGCTTCTGGTTTGACCGGAAGTGACATCAACTTTATTATTTCAAATAGAACCCCCCATATATTTTTACATTTTTAAATTCTACATAAAATTCTGCTATATCTAAAGTGAATAGTTTTCTAGATGTTTGCTATTAGGTTTACGGATATGGGGGTAAAATGTTTGGAATCTTAAAACATTCTTTAAAAAATTCCATGTCAATTCTTTAACATTTTTCAACAAATTACCCGAAAAACCCCAGGGCAAATTGGGCTAACTTTAAACGTTAATAACTTTTTTATTTTAAATGTAACACCTGGTATGTTAAGAAATTGACATGGAATCTTTTAAACAATGTATTAAGATTCCAAAAATTCTACCCCCATTTCTGCAAACCTAATAGCAAAAAAGTTATAGGCTATTTTTTAAAAATTCAAAATTTCAAGTTCAAAATTTTATGTAGAATTTAAAAATATAAAAATAAATGGGGTGTTCCATTTAAAATAACAAACTTTATGTTACTTTCGGTCAAGCCGGAAGTGGAATTTGGAATCAAATTTTGTCGTATTGTGTAATATTTCATAATAATTCTGAGCTGCTTTTTATGCCGAAAAAATGCGATAATTGCAAAATACTATAAAGCTCCTAACTAAATCACGTCTTAAGAATGAATTCATTAAGAATTTAAGCAAATATTAAGGGTAATAAAAATGCAAAACAGATCCATTGTATGTATTTATTTCCAAAAACATGATTGTAATTAACCCACCCCTTTTAAAAGAAATTCTGGAACATATGCTAAAAATGGGTTTAAATATTAATGTTTGGCTTTTTTTGGTATCGTCGATAACTTTTTATTGCTCTCGACGATAGAAATTACTAAAAAAGGGGAACAAAGTTTCAAGTTAAAAAAGAGTAATTCTTGAAAAACGTTTGTATGGAATTGTTGGGATTTTTTAATTATTATAATTAAAAATGTAAAAACCCAGTTTTATAACCAGACTTTGATATAGACAATCAACAATACATTTATTAGCTTGAAATTAACATCCACTCAGACATGAAAATCTTTTAAGTTAGTTTGGACAAAATCTATTATTAACCATAATTTAAAGTTGAACACGGCTCAATTAAGTACGATATGGGATAGAGATGAGACCTACATAATTTTCTGTGTGTTGGCAGCAATGAAGGGGGATTAATGTGCGCGAAAACGTTTTCGTAAAGGGACATGGATCTGGTGAAATGTTATTTGGATTAAGAGAATACCAAAGTCCCCTTAAATTCAATTCGTTCATTGATTAAATTATAAATTCTTAGTTTTTACTGCCTATTAGGTTCTATAAATACTTATCGTTGCTTCTTAAACAACGGTGAGATGTATCCAACCAAAAAAGTTAACTTCTTTTGATAAATTTTTATTTCACGTTGTAATTGTTTAGGTACAATGTACAGATTTAATTTTAATGTTGTTTTAATAAGTTTCATTAAAAAGCTCGCATTCATTATTCCTTTAATTAAATCGTGCTTTGAAATGAAAACAGAGAAATAAAAGTCAGCGTGGCATCCCAAAATGTACGGAATCTTTATCATTTAGTGGCGAAAGTATGTTGTAAACTTTAACTATAAATGTCAGCCCTTCGACCAGAGATAAGGGTGAAAATAAGAAAAATATACGTATGAACAAAGCCTCAAGAGGCGTACTTATTTTTTGACCTGCCATTTTATGTTCACAATATGTTGACTTTATAAAAAATAACAATAATAAATGTGAAAAAAATATATAAACATATTTTCTGACGAGTATTTTTCAGGAAATGTTTGTTTAGTTATTTCAGAATAATTTTTTTTTAATTTTGAAACTTGTGAACACACATTTTCGCATGTCCCATTAGCGTTTTATAAAACTTACATACATGTTTTTTTTTAAATATTGAATAACCAGAACTTTGTGTTGCTTTATAGCAATCCATAACATCCTTAGTTAATAAAGTAAACAATTTATATATTAATTAATTAATTTTAATCTACTTTTTTTTAAATTTGACTCATGCCCCAGACATTTTTTTCGTTGCGTTTCGTCCGTCGCGTTACCGATAGAATATTTAAAAAAACATATATATGACAACTTTTTTGGCACTCACGTGATTAACCAATGATGTTCGGACGAACTCATTACCCAGCTGAATTTATTTATTCAATCAGGAAGAAGATATCGGTTGAAATATGTGCTGGTAACGCGAATGTAATAATTGTTTGTCCGCTAAGTAAAGGTAAGAAAAAAATACTATTTTTCATGTTTATGTTTATTTTAGGGCACTAAAGCTCATTGAGAGTAATTAATGACTGTAATGTTTTATTATTATTTTTTAAATACAAAACACAATACACAAAACTTTGTCCGGTGCGTTACCGAGTCCATTACGTTACCTTATGGTAACGCAATGGAATTTAGGGTAACGCAATAGAATTTTTCAACAACAAAGTGGATATTTACCGTCGTGATTACAACTCATGATATAGATTACATCCAAGGGAAAATTCCACGCAATATACAAGTAC